GGTTCAAACTGTCGGTTTTTAATCCTTTTGAATAATACATATTTGTAAAAGATACAGTGTTTTAGTAAATACTAACATCAGGGAGTGATTCTGCATGAAAAATAATGATAGTTGCTATATAGGCAGATATGCCTTCCTAAAAGACATCCTTCAAGGAAAAATATTTGGAAAGCAAGTTACAGTAAGTAGAACATCATGGTTAAAGAAACTCAGAACCTGGTTCAACACAATATCTGTGCAGCTTTTCTGCACTGCTACAGATAGGATCAAGATTACCATGATGATCACCAACATTCGTAATAGGAAAGAAAGGCACATCAATAAGAAGAAATGTACAGTCAGAACGCGAAGAAAAAAATCGCATATGGAATTGAACGTTATACTTTCGAATACTAAAGATAGGAGAATATTTTAGAGCGACAACAGTGTAAAAGAGCAGCAGATACAACAAAAAGTATATTAATTCCACTCAGTTCTACCGTCACAGTAACATCAAACTCGAGTAACAATATTATTATTTGTTGAAAGAATTTTATCGCCAAAAATTATTTCGGCTTTTTATTTTCGATCAGAACAGTACTTTGTGTTTTGAGAAAATTGACAAAATCCCAGTGGTATGAGAATTCATCAAACGACAACACTTTCTTTCTTTCTCCCTTTGCTTTTACTCTATCAGGGTGTCTGATTTGGATTAGCTAGTTTAATTTTCATTCCCCCATATCTTCCATTCTTTTTTATTTCCGGCCCTTACTTTTAATTCCTCGAGTGACTTTTTGTTAAACGTTTCCTGCCAAACGATAACACAATTTGATTATTATGTTATGGACAATGTGTCGTACCAGAGTTGAAGATTTTAGCCGTCACCAATAACAACTGTCTAGTGGCATCGTTAACTGGTTCCCTCAAACCATTTGATGATAACATATTGAAAGTAAAGCTAGTAGGTTATATATACCCGAATTACCTATGATTGTGAGCTGAATCATGGTGAGGTGAAATGCCTTTACTGCGGTACTGCGATAGAAAATATCACGCCTGAATAGTCGAGACAAGGTAAAACACAAAAACAGACTTGAACCCTAGGATGAATGAGCACCTGAATGAGGGATAATAAGGAATGTTACATATCATTCATGTCTTATGGCAATGTTATTTGTTGATATTTTCTACTTCTCACAAGAACATCGATTATAGAAACTAAAAGAATTTTACAGAAAGAATACCATCGTAGTTTAAGATTTTTTCAGTAAATATTAATTTTAAGGAATATATCGTGTGCAATAACCTGTCAACAACATTTTAACACATTCATTTTTCTGGGAATTTATTGCTTACAATTTTCAAACCATACTAAAATCTATCTCTACTTTATTTTCCATCAGAATGTTGAACTTTGTTCCTTCGGTTACTATTTATAACGTCTTTGTCTTTTCTCAAATATATAGTATTGTAGTCATTCATATTTTCTTTAATAATTCTTGAAATTTGTCTGTTAAATTCGCTTGATTTTTTTTAATGTGTTTAAATATTTCAATTAAAATTTTACGCAGAAGGTTTGCTTTAATATTAAAAGATAATTTATTTAATACTTGGATGTTATTTTTTTCATCTTGTTAACTACACTTCTCTACTAGAACATCACTTTTTCGGATTGATTAATAAAAAATATATATACCAGATATTTCAATTAACTATCCTTAATTTTGTCTAGGACATAAATTAAAAAAAAAATTACAAAATTACTCACTTATGTCAAGTTACCGAAAAACTATTAGTAATAATTGAGAAATAAGGTATCATTGCTAGAATAGTTGCATTTTGATGACTTGCTCTTGTACTAATAAAATCATTCAATCGGAAGCATCAAATACATAATACTATAACAAAATAAAATTATAAACCCACCTTCTTCCATCACAGCTATATCTTTTATAGTTTAACATTCTTCAGTTCGTAATTCTTATCGCCGAAATGGAAAGTCGACCAAATTTTTGAGACAGTTCGAGAATTTTTACATTTTTTCCTTTTGTCCAATTAAATAACACATAAATAAATTTGAAACCTTACAAGCATGAATATTGCATTTGTTCTTTCTCAAGTCCCTATGGCTAGGAAATTTGGGTAGAAAAAGTTGAAAAGTCGAAACTAGTCACTTTAATAGATAAGCGCATGTAATTATCCATTACCCATTGCAAATCAGTAATATTATCATTAAAATATTATCCAAATCTTTAAATATACTGGACGAATACTCTGATATTAGTATAGTTATGGCTAAAAATATAAAAATGAAATTGTACCAACAGAGAAAAGATAACAAGTTCATTAGCAAAAGCCATTTCTAATTATTTTGCACAAAATATTTAAAACATTATTTGGTTAAAAACATCATTTTAGTGATAGCTTTCTTTCGCATTAAAGTCGATATATATCTGAAGTCGACTATACAACGTAAAATTTGTAGAGATACGTAGGGTTAGCCTGATTAGAATTAGAGAAGCTAAAAAACAAAATATTTCAGTGTTTCTTAAAAATATAAGATGTAACCCGTTTAAAATTACATTACTGGGTTGAGCAGAATATCACCGAATAAAATAGCAAATAATAATAATAATAGTCTCCCGTTTTATACCGCACGCGGCTTTGGGAGTATAGCAGGGTAGTCTGCTATATCTAGGGCCTACGGTATACAAGGAAGGTAACATGGCCAGTGCTACGCTTCAACCGCCTATTATTACCCCTGGTTTTACCCAAGGTACTCATTTTATTCAGGCTGAGTCGACCTGGGGCCTATAGACATTTTAAAAATGCCTAGTTGTTCTTGCCGGCGGTAGGATTCGAACTCACGACCACCGGCATGCGAGGCAAGCACACTACCGCTTGCGCTACGCGGGCCCTATAAAATAGCAAAATTATCAAGCAAAAAAGAAACAAGCGATGTTAGGAATATACGACAAAGTTCATTTACTGAAGCGGTCTGATAAGTTCTCGAAATCGCTACGCCCAGGCAGCTGCTAACTGTAAGCAGTTGTTTGAAGTAGTTGAGATGAGCGTGGTATTGAAAATGGAAAAATCTAGCATAGTACAGTGAACAAATGCATGGTAAAAAACGGTTTAACCCATATACTACTACTACTTCTGTCCTTTTAAAAGGCAATCGATCTATTTCCCTTAAATTGATAACTTAAACTTACCGTTGATAGATGGTGCCTGTGAGGTTTACTGTCAAACATATCGATTAAGATATTTCATCAGTTGCTCGCTTTAAAAGTTTGTTTACCTACTAGCTCAGCATTGTTTTGTTTTTTAATTAAACCTGGCTTGAAGAAAAAAAACTTTATCGACCAGGACCTGTCATAAATCTGTTTTAGCAACTGATAAATTAATGGAACTGCATTTGAAGTGTTGGAACATCCACACTATTAGCTAGATTTGACGCCTCGGAGTTACATATTATTCCATGTTCATACTACAATTGTCACACTAAAGTGTACAATGATAAAATGAAGACGACGACTACGCGAGAAATTGAATTAAAATTGGGGGGGGGGGGGACAACAAAAGATGACCTAGGGAATAATGTAATAAAACGTGAACTAAAGATAATGACAAGTGAAATACTTTATGAAGAGCATAATTATGTTAGCAAAATTTTGGAATATGTTCCAAACTTTATGCTCAAAAAATATAATCATTGAAAGTTTTTACTTTTTAAATTTGAACTAAATTATTCAGTTTGGGAATAATTTTTCTAATAGACTTATAGATTAGTTTTCTGTCGTAAATGTCATACGGTTAATATTTTGTACACATAACGTTACTCGCGTGAATACTTATTTTTTTACTCGAATTGTCTCACTGTTAAATTACAATTTACATATATACAGATTATTAGACATTTTAATTGACAAATAGATATAAAAGTATAAATATTTTAAATATAAAAAACAAGAAGTACAGTACAGTAAATATTAACAATTGGTATAAGTACGAAAAAGAACACTATGGTTAAAATATGTTTATGGCAGCGGTTCCATAAGTTCCATAAGTGTACCGCGGCGTCTTAGGATGCTGTGAAGAGAAACAGGGGTACCGCAAGATACTCCTGTATTATCTTCTTTAAAATTGTATACATACATATAAAAAGTACAAGTAACTGTTTTAATTGTTATTCCCGGAAACAGAATAAAAATATGAGTCTTGAGTTAAATCGTTCACAGTACTGGTAGTGCATTCAGTGTTCGAGCTTGTGTACCAAAGTCCTAGCCATCTCTGGCCTGAGCGCGTGAACATTGTATAAGAGTTCGAAACTAGGAAGAAAGCAGTTGAAGAGTTTGAATTGAATCAGTTTCTAGGTGTTTCGTGGACGTCGTATAGTGGAGACAAAGAGAAACTTTTAAGACACGATTCCAAAACAATTAGTATTATAGATGTTTGTGTACGTCAAAGGTTAACATTACCTTTGGTGAAAAAGACTACAATTACGAAGAAACTTCAATATTATTTTAATAAGTTAAATATGGCAGTATACAGGGATCTGAAAATTGGTCTGTTTTTGACAGTACGCCAAAGAGAAGTTTTCCTAGAAACAAATATGAAAATAGTGAGATGAATGAGACAAATGAAAAGAGTGATAATAATCGATGTTCCATTTTTATAAAGTATAGGTCCAGTTTGGCAATTGAGGGAAATGTCGCAGTTGAATGTTGTTAAAATTTTTATTGTTGCAATAAGGCATGCGCGGTTTTGAACTTGAAAATTGCAAGAAAACTGACTACCATGTATTGTGATACGATTTACACAATTCCTTTACTGACAGATTGAATTTGTACACTACAAGTATATATCGTTTAAATTTTAAGATAAATCCCTACATTTTGGTCGACTTATCCATGATCACCTAGCCAAAATTAACAACCTAATCCTCAATAACAGACAACAAACATAAAAACCGAAAAGAGAAATTCAAACATTTCCGTCATTCTCCTCATCAACATATGTTACCGAAAGGAATTGATACAATTTTTTAATTGGTCAATGCTATTTTGCAGTTCTTTTTTCTCGTTCTCTCTCCTGAACAAAACGGAACGTAACTCTCGCTGTTTCTTTTCAAGGAATTTCACTTCACGCTGCCTCTTCAGGTTTTCTTCGGCTAGGTACGTTTGTTGCTTTTTCGTTTGAAAGATCTGAACGTCCCTCTCTGCAAAATACAAAATAATGTATTACAAGAGATTTATTTGTATATTTATGTAACGAAGAAGAAAAATGATTAATTATTAACAAATCTGTTATTTCTCAATATCGTTTAAACAGTAGTAATCACTTTTTCGGTACATAAACAGCAAATCATTATGAACAAATAGCTTGTTATGATTAGATATTAAAATATAATAAATATTTTATAGTTCGTACAATTTTGATGACATTATTTTATAGAAATTTTCAAACATCTATAGTGTATTTTTATGTATGAGAGAGTAATAAAACAATAAATTATATATGCAAATCCCTAAACTGTTGATACAAGTGACTCAATGAAAAACAGATATTTGTCAACAAGTTTACAGAAGTATATAGGAAAACAATTTTAAATTGAGTATGACCACCAGGTATAAAGGTTGGAGCAGAATAGAATACAATAGTTGTGAGGGTTACTAATCCCTAAATAAGGTTGCCAGTGTCGGAGTGATGGAGATTAACAGGTACTAATGAATTTGCAAGAAATGTAAGATGTTTATTTTATTGGTTATATATAACCAATAAAAGTTTAATAAGTACCTACCTATTTGCAAAATAAAGTTTAATTCTTTAGATAAAATAAAACGTTTTATTTTATCTGAAATGAGTGCATTCCACGAAGTAAGCGTTTCAACAATCAAACATTTAATTCTTTAATTCCAGGAATCTACGACAGTAATTGACTAGATAATTACCTTCTAAACTTATTCCACAGAAAATGTGATAGTGGGTTTTTCCATTTTGTAGGAAGGTCCAAGTGGCGTATTCAAAATTCTTAACAGTTCACTAAAAGTAGGTACTTCAGTTGCAAGGTGCAGTTTATTGTGTATACTAGTGTTATGGAAAATTTGGAAGTGTCGTGTAAACGCCAAAAAATTGGTCCTTTAACAGTTAATAAAAAAACATTAATATTTAATTGTTTTAAATCATTTACAGACAAACGTTTATGTGAAAGTGTTGATGAGACCGTTGAGTTAGTTAGCAGTACACTTGGTGTTGGGAAATCTACGATTTACAGAGTTATTAAAGAAGAGAAATGTGGTAGTTTTCAAATGCCACGTAATGCTCCAGGGAAACCAAAATTTCAAATAGAATATCATTTTAAAGAAGGACGTCGACGGAAAGTGCATGAATTCTTCTTTAAACAAGAATTTCCAACATTGGATAAAGTTCTTGTCTCAGTTCGAGATGATAAGGATTACCCAGAAATGAGTCGAAGTACGTTATGGAAACTTTTAAAAGAAATATTCTTCCGCTGGAAAAAGAATCCCAGAAAGTCTATTTTATTAGAAAGAAGCGATATTGTCATATGGAGAAGACATTTTCTAAGAACCATAAAGGAAATGAGAAACCAAAAAAGAAAAATATATTATCTTGATGAAACATGGATCAACGAGGGTCATACACCAAATAAATTTTGGCAGGATGAAACTGTTACAAGTCAAAGGCACGCTTTTGTAAATAACTTATCTACTGGTTTAAACCCACCATCAGGAAAGGGACGCAGGCTCATACTAGTACACATTAGCAGTTCAGACGGTTTTGTTGAAGGTGGTTTATTAACTTTTGAATCAACTCGTACCGGTGACTACCATGAATACATGAACGCTGATGTCTTTCAAGAATGGTTCGAACAAATGATAGATCTTCTTCCTAAGAACTGTGTAATAGTAATGGATAATACAAGTTATCACTCCAGACTTATAGAAGGACTGCCCACAACCAAGTGGTTAAAAAAAGACTTGCAGAATTGACTGAGTTCAAAAAATATTACGTACCATCCCGGATCTACAAGAAAGGAACTTTATTCGTTGTGTGCCCTTCATAAAAAAAAAATTTTAAAAATACGAAATTGATGAAATTGCCAAAAATCGTGGAATGACAGTACTTAGATCCCCACCATATCATTGTGAATTAAACCCGATTGAACTGGTATGGGCACAGATAAAGAGTGAAGTTTCAAGAAAAAATACCACTTTTAAAATTCATGATGTTAAACAGTTGTTTTTGGAGGCCGTAAATAATGTAAAACCTGAAAACTGGGAAAAGGCAGTAAATCACAGTATTAAAGAAGAGGAAAAAATGTGGAAGCTGGACAATATTACTGATAAAATGATCGAGCCAGTTATTATAAATCTTGGTTCTGAAAGTTCATCTTCTGAATCTGATTTGGATTTGTAACAAGTAGCTGTAAGTTTTATATTCATATTTTTATTCATCTATTTAACATACCTTAGACGGTTTTAAAAACTCTTTTTCTCTATTGTAATTTTTAAAAATTAAAAAAAATGTGAATTTTTTAAAACCCTTTTTAATGTAGGCCAGTCAGTTCTAATATAGTGTGTGATAAAAGAGGTCACTTTTGTTTACATACACATAACACTTTATAACACTGAAATAATTAATTTATTTTTTACAATTATTCAAAGTAATTTTTCAATTAATCTTGAGCACGCCCATGGAGTGGTCGGAGATACCAGTTAAAATTATGCTAATTACTCTCTCGTTCATAAAAATAAACTATAGAGTAAACGGTGCCATAGAAAGAACCATAAGAATGAACTGGTTCAGAGTCTAAAAGATGAAAGTTCGGAAGAATGGTAGGAAATTCATAAGTAGGATACAGATCGTTAGTATTACAAAATAAGCGAGAGATACTACCGAAGATACTAGCGTTATATTTCCACTTAATAGAGGGAGATCAAAATTATATTTAATACTGTTTAAAATAACGTCCTGCGTTGCCAGATGTACGATAATTATCGTACTCTGTATTCTCAGTATTCTCTGTATTCGATAATTTAAAGTTAAATTTGATAAGTACGCTCTAAGTAAAGTAGCCACAAAACGTGGAGTGTTGCAACTACGAGTACCACCTTAGAAGAGGTTATGCAAGATACGTAGATATATAAAGACAGTGACAAGTAAAGGAAACTGTCAACATTGTAAGATACAACTTTACTAGGCCATAATAAGACTTTTTGGGACTTCTAGTTATCAAACTGACCCGTTTTAAAAGAAAGATGAAAGCATAAATAATCCATATGAACTTTGAATTCGACGCGCTAAACAATCACGTTAAGTATTCCCGAATGAAAGTTTGCCGAAAATGGATCAAGTCCGGAACTAGAGAAGACCTGCACGTGATATAGCTTGAGATAAAAGAATAAGAAGTTTGAATAGTATTATCAGCTATTTCAGGTTAAGAAAAAAAAATGAATAAATGAAATTGGTCAAGATTAGTGCCGAACCGTATCTTACACATTAGACATACCAACTGTCTTGGTGCGCAGTGGCAAGAGCGTCTCTTTTACTAAGAGTAAAAACTCAGATCGAGTCGTGAGTTTAAATTAGGTATAAATGAGATTTTTATTTTAAAAACAAAGTATTCTTTGTCGGATGGGTACATATTCGTAGTATCCAAATTAAAGAAATATACATTAAAACTATTATTTACCTTTTGAAAACCTTTTATAGGCTTCTATTAACTCCAGTACTCCCGGCCATTTAAACTTGGTGCAATCTTCTTTCTCGACCCAAATGTTTTCCTTCGAACTTTCCAACTTCTCATTCTTCATAGAATTTTGATTCTGTACCAATATCATAGAAAGAGGAAGGCAGCTTATTCCAGTGCCTTGATTCATCGCCATGTTTTTGCAGTCTTCTTTTTTATCGATGTGCAGTGAATTCACTCTGTATTGGTGAACGATGGGCAATTTTAAAATTGGGTTATCTTTGATTTTGCTATCGATCATAAGTTCGTCCTGGTGTGATTTCACAGAGGCCAATTTTTTGTTTAGTTTTTCAGTGTACTTTGTGACAGAGGATTCGCAATTTCTTTTTATCCGGTCTTTTACCACTTCCGTCCAGTTCTTTTCCAAAGCTAAAAATGATATAAATTTAAAATGTAAGAAATAGAACTCATTGTTTTTAATATTTACATTTGATCGTTAAAGCAAAAACATCTCAAAGAACACTATCGATGATATTTTGTAGTTATAGTAGTGATTACTTATTTTATTACATATCACTGAAAATCAACAGGTCTGGCTATATGTAGATACATGTAATGCTTAACATTTAGAATATGACCAGCCTCAAACCAATCGAAAAGTGCAAATAAGGAGTTGCCTGTAGATATGCACGATATTTACATGCGTCTAGGCATGAAATGTCAAATGTCATACAGGACTCAATTTAATTTAGTTTACAATTATAGGTACTTTATATATAAAGTAAAAATATATTTTGTATATTTGTTTTTTAAAAAATTAAAATATTTCAAATATGCCACGGTATTCTAAAAAAGAACAATAATTAATAATTTTTGAAGTGCATGAAATATTTTTAAAGAAAAAATTACGCTGGACAATCTGTACAGCATATAACTAAAATCGCAGTACGAATTTGGAAAGAAGCAATTGAATAGGTAAAATGAAAGTTTTTGTTAAAGTGTACTTAGATTATAAATGCTAAGCGGAGGCTGATAGAAAAAGGGCTCATGATATTGTTGATATGATATATCCAACGCATTAAGAGAGAGACCACGGGCAAAGAGAAGTATAAATATAAAAGATTAGTAAGTCCAAAATGCAATGATTCTAGGCATGCTCAAAACTGATCCATATGTCACAACTGAAAGAAGGCAACAACCTGTACCTTTGATAGTGTCTGAACAAACTTTATATTTATTAAGGCCTGGTTCTTCTAAAAATTTAAAAAAAATCGAAAATTCTTTTTTCGAAAATTGCTAGAAAATACTCGTACGAATAGTATAGAATTGATCCCGACGACTACCTTCAAGTAGGTTGAGAAGACGGAAGAGCGGAGTGCTCAAAGCAGATGTTTACTTTCAATGGCTTTTCTCAAAACCACGTTTTTTCATTGAAAAATTAACAATCCCGCCATTTTTTTCGATGAAAATGTTAGCACCAACCATAGCTAATCCGATACAGAATATGAAACCATTTTGTGTTTTGCTTTTCATTTAAAAATAAATGAGGACACCCAAGAACAAATAAGACGAGTTTGGGCAGCCATTTTGAAAAAAGGAAAAAATATTTTTTAAGTATATTAATATATGTATTTACATCTGTAAAAAGTTTGATTTTCAAATATCTTTTGTATTATAAATTAAAATTATTTAAAAAAAAACGGTTTTTGGAGGAACGTGGCCTTAAAACAAGATGGATCAAAAAAACATGCTGAAATGATTATTACTACAGTGGTGCAGATTGTGAGAAGAAAAATGGAAGTATCTATCCCTACAGCACGCCTCTGATAACAGCGGAAAACTATCTTCTTACATTATTTAAAGTATCCTAGTATGTGTAAACTGCTTGTTAAGTTAGAACAAAAAATATTGTTAAGGTGTTAAAACAGTGGGCTAAAACAATTTAGAATATTTGTAATACTCTGTATCTAGGTAAGGAGGAATATTTTATTAAAGTGTTTTAGGTGAAATCTTGTATTTTGTGCTTAGTTTCTCCAGTTACTATATGGACAATTCTTAATGAAACACTCTGTATATATATACACTACACTAAACAATGACAAAATAGACGGCGACAGCTATAAAGACGTAATAAATCCTCAGTCGAAGGATAAATAAAAATTATGTGCTTTTAATTTGTGTCTGTACTTATGTAACCCCGAAAGTGCCGCCAAACAACAAATTAAACAATGTTTGTTTACTCACTTTGTTTTCCCTCTGCAGACATAATTTTCAGTCCTAGTAACTGAAAGAAACACTTTTTGGCCTTGTAATTTTGCAGCATGTTTAATGTTAACGTTGACTTTAAAGGCACTGGAAGATTCAAGGATGTTATTTCATCATCAGTTTTTTCTATGATGACACTGGGGTCTAGCCACTTCCTTCTCTCCAGTTTTTGTAATTCTAAAACTAATAATCATTTGTATGAGAATGTAAATAACATAGTAATTTATTAAACAAAAAATGGTCATGATGTTTGTCGTACAATATAACAATATCAAAAAATTTCTGAGCTTTCACAATCTCCTAATTTTTCAAATTTATATTACCGAAATATTCAGCCAGTAGACAATTTAGAGGATGATGTAAAATATATTTGGCTCATAACAACCAGTGGCGGCTAGTAACCTCAGTATGCGGGTAGGCGACACGCGACACATATACCATTATTTTTATCATATGACGTTTGTAACCTGGATACCTGTATACTTGGAGGTCACCCACCACAGGATAATGAACAGAGATTTGGAAATTCCATTGTAAGCGTAAAGCTTTTTCCTGGAGCAGATGTCCCCTCAGACCATAACCTCCTTGTCTCAAAAATAAATCAGAGGGCAAAAAAGAAAATAAAATCCAAAAGTTCTAAGGTGAATACTCAGTTACTCAAGATAATTGAAATCCGTGCTGAGGCTTCAACTTGTATTAATTAAGAAATAAAGAAATTAACATCAGAAACGAAAAACACTGAGAATGTGAACATTATGTGGAGCAAAATCAAAGATGCTGTTATAAAAACACAGAAAGAAACTACAAAAGAAAACAGAAGGCCGAAAACCTTGGATGGCTCAAGATATACTGGAAATCATGGAACAAAGAAAAAATAATAGAAAAAAAACCCAAATAAGTACAGAGAAAAACATAATTTAATAAGGAACAAAATAAAGAGGTTAAGGAAAAGTGGATGATGGAAACATGCATCGAAGTGGAAGAATTGCAGAAAAAGCATGACCATTATAATTTACATAAAAAAGTAAAAGAATTATCTGGAAAATCATGAAAAAAATACACCTGAACAATTAATTGACAAAAACAATAAACCTATTAATAATCCACTTGAAATCAAACGAGTATGGACTAAATAATATATTGAAGATCTTTTCATGGACACAAGAACGGAACCAAGACAAATTGATAACGAAGGAGCTCCAATAATATTAAAATCTAAAGTCCAACATGCTATAAACATCTTAAAATCTGACAGAGCCTCAGGGACAGGCTGATTAAACTTATAGACAAAAACAATTTAAGTGCAATAACTATATTCTTTAAAAAATATACAAATCTGGTGATATACCTACAGAATGGCTGCTATCGACCTTTGTTCCGCTACCAAAATCCAAGAACTCAAACACTATAATGACTACTTAATATCACACCTATTATAAACATTTTTAATAGTTTCGGAACAGTGGAAGCTCTGTATAGTTTCACAACTCTTGTCCAAAAATCTCGAGACCAACAAAAAGATTTTTTCGTTGCGTTTATAGACTATGAGAAAGCTTTCGACAAAGTTAAACATAACATCCTCATAGAATGTTTAAAGAGAAAAGGACGCGACAAAAATGACATTAACATAGTGAGAAATCTCTATTAGAACCAACAGGCTGCGGTAACATTAGATGGAAATAGCACGGATGCGCAACAGATAAGTAGAGGAGTGAAACAGAGCTGTATACTTTCACCATTACTATTTAATATATATTCCGAAGAGTTATTTACGCAAGCACTTGAAAACAATACAGAAATGATTAAGATAAATGGTGAAAATATAAATAACATCCGTTATGCTGACGATACAGTCATTATCGTTGAAAGTGAGACAGATCCGCAGACGTTACTAAACACAATTTGTGATACTGGGGAACAGTTTGGTTTAACAATAAACATAAACAAAATAAAAACCATGGTTATCAGTAAGAGGGGCAAAGTGATTACAACGATCCAGATAAAAAATGAAGATATTGAGCAAGTGAACAAAATGAAATAAAATAAAACCAGTACAGCGGATCAAACCTTTTCTTTTCCTAACCCCGAAAATCTAAATGATTACTTTGTTAATGTGAGTAAAAATATAACCTCAACTATTTCGCCACAACAAGATCCAGTTTCCTATCTCTCTAATTCAAAAAACATTGCTGATACCTTCTTTTTAAGACCAGTTGATAAGACGGAACTCATTTCAACAATTCGTAGTATAAAAAGCACATCGTCCTGTAGTACAGATGGATTATCTATTAAAATTTTCTCAAATCTACCGCATAATGTTTTGGAGGTCATGGTCTCGCTAGTAAATGATTCCCTTGAAAAAGGTACATTCCCTAACTGCCTAAAGACTGCCATCGTCATTCCTCTTCATAAAGGTGGAGAAAAATCTGATGCCTGCAACTATAGACCTATTGCCTTGTTACCAGCACTATCAAAAATTATTGAAAGATTTATAAAAGTTCGACTTATGCCCTTTCTCCTTAAATATAATATTTTATCGCAAAATCAGTTCGGCTTTTTGTCTAATAAATGCACTAGTGATGCCATATTTTCTGTGTTACATGATGTATATCTATCACTAAACAGTAACCTCTCCTCCGCCACCGTTTTCTGCGACTATTCCAAAGCCTTTGACTGCGTAAATCACAACATTATATTAAAAAAATTAACTTTCTACGGAATTCGGGGTCTGTCTTTGAACTGGTTCAAAACTTACTTGGTAGGTAGGAAACAATTGGTTAGAATAAATGACACCGACTCTAGTTGTAAAGATATTGAGTGTGGAGTACCGCAAGGTTCAGTATTAGGTCCCATTCTTTTTTTACTTTTCATTAATGACATCACTTACTTGAAAATTAAAGGGAAATTTTTTCTATTTGCTGATGATACCAGTATTACTTGGAGCAGCTCTGATATTTCAACGCTTCATTCAATTATAACCGCTGATTTACTTATAATCAAGGCTTAGTCAGACTCCAACTTACTTAGCTTTAACGTGGATAAGACTGTAGCAATATCTTATAAAGGAGTCATGCAACCCTTGCTTTTGAATGAGAGCCAAATCAATATCGTAAATTCCGTGAAATTTCTAGGTATTCTCATTGACAGTGATCTCAAATGGTCCTTGCATACTGACCCCTTAAGGAAGAAACTAGCCTCAGCTTGCTTTGCAATAAGATCTGTTTCGAAGGAACTAAATTTATCTTCTGCCAAAATGGCATATTTCTCATTGTTCGAGTCCCATCTTCGATATGGGCTTCCATTTTGGGGTTCTAGTACAGCGGCCCAATTTGATACTATTTTTAAGTTGCAAAAAAGAGCAATCCGTTATCTATTTGGTCTCAAACAAACAACTCATTGCAAGACCTACTTAAAAATCACGGAATTTTGACGCTTCCCTCTTTATTTATTTTGGAAACGGTTTGTTTGATTCGAAAGCATCTAAACATTTTTCCCGATAGACCTGACCATGGCTACTCCATTAGAAATTCGGATTGTAACGTTTATTTGCCGATCCCGTCCACTCAGCTAGTAAAGAATTCTATTCTATATCGTGCAAAGAAACTTTATAATCACCTTCCAAGAGAAATTAAATCCGCAACATCCTTCATTAAGTTTCGTAAGGTGACAAAAATCTATCTCTCAGAAAGACCATATTATTCAGTTGACGAGTTTCTTAATGTATAACAAAGAAACAAAATTAGTATTGTTTATAATTACATTTGGGAGTCTCAAGCAGTGGCTACAATTTGTCTCATTTGTTGTTGTCTGTACAAATTATGTAGGTTATACAATAATTTTACCAATTTAAAATTGTGTTATTCTGTTTTTGACTAAATTTGTTTTTGTTTTATACTTTTTGTACTATTTGACTGATTTATTTTTTAGCTTTGTCCATAAAATTGTTAAATAATTTTCAGTGACAATAAAGCATATTTCTATTCTATTCTATTCTACTTAGGAAACTGGATTACGGAAGATCTGAATCCGAAATCAGAACTTCGCTCAAGAATAGAGCAATCAAGTGCAGCCTTTTTGAAGATGAGGAAATTTCTGATGAACCAAAGACTCAATCTACAAATATGATATCGGATGGTAAAATATTATATTCACTCTATTCTTCTTTATGGTGTCGAAGCCTGGACTGTTAATGTTGACTTAATGAGAAAACTGGAAGCTTTTGAGATGGGGATATTTAGGAGAATTTTGACGATACCATGTACCGATCGAACGAAACGGTGTTGCACAAAATGGGAAGAGAGAGAGAACTTTTGACCACCAATAAAAGGGGAAAGACAGCATCTTTGAGGCATAGACTTAGAAATGATAAGTACGAGTTGTTGCAGCTGATTATGAAGGGTAAAATCGAAGAAAAAAGGGGTCCTGGTAGATGACAAATATCCTGGTTGAAAAACATTCGCACCTGGACCAGCTTAAACACACAGACGCTCTTAAGAAAAGCAGAAGATAGAGACGAATTTGCAATGGTTATAGTCAACCTTCTTTAGTGGAGATGACACTAGAAGAAGAAGACATTTGTAATTAAACTATACAAGGCATGTGCAGATCTATTTTCGCTAATACCAAAAAACCCGAAAATCTTTCTAATAAAACGGATTGTTAAAATACATTGTGATTTTTCGCTTATATCCGTAGTATCGTCCGCTAGTGCAGTAAAATATTAAGCTTCAATCATTTCTCTTAAAATTTCATTTTTTTATGTACCTAACTAGCAAGGCAATCTATTAAATCGTTTTTTATGGTTTAAAGGGTTTAAACCCTTCTGTTTTTTAATATAATCCCGGATTTCCTGATTACGTTTAACGGCAAAATTAAAAAAGTTTTTCAAATTACCCACATTTGAAGAATTGTGGCTCTCATCCCGATCGCGAAATGCAATTTTTTGTTTTGCTAAAATTCGTAACATAAATTTAAATATGAAAATAAGATTCTATTTTTTCTAGCTTCTTCATTATATAACTTATTGTATTAGGTAATATGTCCAAATTTTCTATTTTAAATAAGTATTATGTCAAAATTTATAAATCACAATTTTGAAATAAGTAATTTATAATAATAAATAATTTATTATTATACATTTGAAGAGCCTACCTTGCCTACCCCGACGTGATTGCCCCTGATAACAGCCGTGATGCCATTGATGATGATTATAATTGTTGCAAAATTATTTCAACAATTTGATTTTTAATTCATTTAGATATAAGTTAAATTTTGACAATATTATAGTAGACATATGTACATTATAATCCCAAAAATATTTATCATAAGCAACATAGATGGAAAAAAATTATACAAAATAAAGCAGAAACAAAATTATACTTACAATTATTCATTCTATGCGTTGTTAGATTGAGTGTTTTTAAAAATTGCATTTTGTCGGGACGTGAATCCAGCTGAAGGGGCGGTCCGCTCTTAATAACAAGATCTGTCTCGGTTTCTTCATTTTCGCTATCGGAACTAAAAAAAGAACTGTCGCTATCGGACCAATCGGAATACCCATAAATCGTAACACCATATTCCACACAAACTTTATCGTTTTTAACTTTCTTGATTCCCTTATTCTCCTTTTTCTTTTTTCTGTTTCTTTTCAGTGCAGCCAAATCAATTTTACTCAGTCTTTGACGTTTAGCTGCAATCGGCTTTGTGTTAATAGGTACATTTGGTATATTCAGTACGGTAAAAGTACACTCTTTTTTCTTTTCACGGCGTATAGTACGTATCGATGATTTTTTGTTAGTCGAATCAGTTCCTACATCCGACATACTACCTCTCTCTACTATTTTAGGTTTCTGACTAGTTGCTTGAGGTAATGAACTGTGAGTATCTGGTACCGCGGTGCTGGACTGCACCGGATAGTTTGGGGATGGTACTGGCAACTGTGGACTACAGGAATGGTTCGGTACCTTCTCATCAGCTATTGGAGCGAGAGCGAGTTTCACGTCGGTATTATCGTGAAACAAGATGTCGTTGTTGTTGACATTAAGTACATTAGTCGAAGCAATGACGTCTTCTGGCGATATCTCAATTTTATTTTCAATATAGCCTACACCTTCTATATTACCCACGTCAGAGGATTTATTATTATTATCTACACTAACGGTTATTACATTATCCACATCAACCAATTTCTGTTTGTTATTTAGACGCAATTTTTTTGGTGTATCTATTGTATCGTGTGAGTCAGTTTTATTAGTTTCTCCAACAATGGATTCAATACTGAAATGAGTAAGCTTCTTTAAATTACCAATACCAGGTTCGTCCACATTATTTGAGGAAATATCATTAATTTTTTCTACTGATTTTAAATACGTAATCATAGACTTCCTGGCTGAAACAAATAGACATAATTTTAGATATAAAAAAATATAAAATAGTACGAAGCTCTCAGAATGAAAAGCAAGAAAAGATTTTTAGAAATAATAAAGGTCCCCCCGTTATAGTTTATTTTTATGAATGCGAGAGTAATTAGCATAATTTTAACTGATACCTTCGACCACTCCATGGGCGTGCTCAAGATTAATTGAAAAATTACTTTGAATAATTGTAAAAAATAAATGAATTATTTCAGTGTTATAAAGTGTTATGTGTATGTAAACAAAAGTGACCTCTTTTATCACACACTATATTAGAACTGACTGGCCTACATTAAAAAGGGTTTTAAAAAATTCACATATTTTTAAAATTTAAAAATTACAAAAGAGAAAAAGAGTTTTTAAAACCGTCTAAGGTATGTTAAATAGATGAATAAAAATATTAATATAAAACTTACAGCTACTTGTTACAAATCCAAATCAGATTCAGAAGATGAACTTTCAGAACCAAGATTTATAATAACAGGCTCGATCATTTTATCAGTAATATTGTCCAGCTTCCACATTTTTTCCTCTTCTTTAATAGTGTGATTTACTGCCTTTTCCCAGTTTTCAGGTTTTACATTATTTACGGTCTCCAAAAACAACTGTTTAACATCATGAATTTTAAAAGTGGTATTTTTTCTTGAAACTTCACTCTTTATCTGTGCCCATACCAGTTCAATCGGGTTTAATTCACAATGATATGGTGGGGATCTAAGTACTGTCATTCCACGATTTTTGGCAATTTCATCAATTTCGTAATTTTTAAATTATTCTTTATGAAGGGCACACTACGAATAAAGTTCCTTTCTTATAGATCCGGGATGGTACGTAATATTTTTTGAACTCAGCCAATTCTGCAAGTATTTTTTTAACCACTTGGTTGTGGGCAGTCCTTCTATAAGTCTGGAGTGATAACTTGCATTATCCATTACTATTACATAGTTCTTAGGAAGAAGATCTATCATTTGTTCGAACCATTCTTGAAAGACATCAGCGTTCATGTCTTCATGGTAGTCACCGGTACGAGTTGATTCAAAAGTTAATAAACCACCTTCAACAAAACCGTCTGAACTGCCAATGTGTACTATTATCAGCCTGCGTCCCTTTCCTGATGGTGGGTTTAAACCAGTAGATAAGTTATTTACAAAAGCGTGCCTTTGACTTGTAACAGTTTCATCCTGCCAAAATTTATTTGGTGTATGGCCCTCGTTGATCCATGTATCATCAAGATAAAATATTTTTCTTTTTTGGTTTCTCATTTCCTTTATGGTTCTTAGAAAATGTCTTCTCCATATGACAATATCGCTTCTTTCTAATAAAATAGACTTTCTGGGATTCTTTTTCCAGCGGAAGCCTATTTCTTTTAAAAGTTTCCATAACGTACTTCGACTCATTTCTGGGTAATCCTTATCATCTCGAACTGAGACAAGAACTTTATCCAATGTTGGAAATTCTTGTCTAAAGAAGAATTCATGCACTTTCCGTCGAAGTCCTTCTTTAAAATGATATTCTATTTGAAATTTTGGTTTCCCTGGAGCATTATGTGGCATTTGAAAACTACCACATTTCTCTTCTTTAATAACTCTGTAAATCGTAGATTTCCCAACACCAAGTGTACTGCTAACTAACTCAACGGTCTCATCAACACTTTCACGTAAACGTTTGTCTGTAAATGATTTAAAACAATTAAATATTAATGTTTTTTCATTAACTGTTAAAGGACCAATTTTTCGGTGTTTACACGGCACTTCCAAATTTTCCATAACACTAGTATACACAATAAACTGCACCTTGTAACTGAAGTACCTACTTTTAGTGAACTGTTAAGAATTTTGAATACGCCACTTGGACCTTCCTACAAAATGGAAAAACCCACTATCACATTTTCTGTGGAATAAGTTTAGAAGGTAATTATCTAGTCAATTACTGTCGTAGATTCCTGGAATTAAAGAATTAAATGTTTGATTGTTGAAACCCTTACTTCGTGGAATGCACTCATTTCAGATAAAATAAAACGTTTTATTTTATCTAAAGAATTAAACTTTATTTTGCAAATAGGTAGGTACTTATTAAACTTTTATTGGTTATATATAACCAATAAAATAAACATCTTACATTTCTTGCAAATTCATTAGTACCTGTTTCCTCCATCACTCCGACACTGCCAACCTTATTTAGGGATTAGTAACCCTCACAACTATTGTATTCTATTCTGCTCCAACCTTTATAACTGGTGGTCATACTCAATTTAAAATTGTTTTCCTATATACTTCTGTAAACTTGTTGACAAATATCTGTTTATCATTGAGTCACCCGTATCAACAGTTTAGGGATTTGCATACATAATTTATTGTTTTATTACTCTCTTATACATAAAAATACGCTATAATATATAGGCAAAATGTCCTATCTCCCAGAATTATTTTTTTTTCATTTTTTACCTTCTGTGTTATTAAAAAATGACGCTCAGCGCAATTTTAATCCCACACCCCCACCCCCCAAAAACGTAATTTTTTTTAAATTTTTTCTAGGTGGGATACTATTAATTTAAAAATTTTAAAAAATTCACACACATAGTAGAGGGCGCCATGTTACAAAAATACGAAAAACTGTTTTTTAGGGGTTTTGGGGGGTTTCTCCATTTTATATACTTCAAAATAGACCAAATCAAGGTTTTTTATAGTTGATATTTATCGTAAATTAAATGTGGCCTTCAGGAATTTTAAAAATTGGGCGAAACACCTTTAAGCCACCCAAAAAACATGTTTTGTTAGAGTTTAAGGGTTTTGGTGGGGTTATTCATATTTTTAACATCGACACAACCTGAATTAATTTTCTCACATTTTTCTTTTTGTTATTAATAAAATAAGACTCAGTGCAATTTGTCTAAAAATGACTTTTTTTCGAAAAAAGCTTATAATTTTTTTTAGGTGAGATTCTGTATGATCATTTTTTTTATTTTGTGTATTTTTACGAAAACAAGCATCAAACTATTCTTGGCTTCTGAGGGACTTTCCATGACTACAGAAGATCTGCGAAAAATTTATTTGAAATTTCATGATGCCTATGGAATTGATCCAGCTGAGGTAGACGAAGATCTAGCTGCGTTTAGGTCCTTTATCGCTGCTGAAAGAATGATCCATCTGCAAAGATTAAGGGAATGTCATCAAAATTACTTTTCCACCGCTTCTCCAAGACGAAATTTTTAAATGTTTCGACGTGTTCTGAGGGTCTAGAATCCTCAAATTTAACTGCTAGCAACTTTGGCGTGGTTCTTATTAATATTCGATCGATTAGAAATAAGACAGACGAATTATTTTTGTTTCTGGAAGAATTAGGGTTTCCCCAGTTAGTTGCAGTGACGGAACACTGGCTTGTAGTTAATGAGCCAATTTTCATTTAAGAATATACCACAATTGCTAGGTATGATCGTCCAAGTTCAGCTCATGGTGGCACTCTGATTCTTTCAAATAACAATGATTTTTCTTCAGTTTCGAAATATGACTATTTGCTGGGTGAAAACTACTTCGAATTTTCTTTGATTTATAATAAGAAATTTAATCTATACATTATTTGCATTTATAGATCACCTAGCTCTGATACTGAACTATTTTTTCAGAGCCTGCTAAATTTGTTAGATATTCTGCCCATTAAAAGCAGAAAAATTTTATGTGGTGATTTTAATATTGACTACGCTGCTGTTTGTGCGACCCAACTGTCTTTGGTAACTATTTTTGAATCATATGGTCTCACAATGCACGTTAATTCTCCAACAAGAATCTCAAAAACATCATCCTCGACAATTGATTATGTGGTTTCCGATTTTCCACCCGCTGACGTCCATTCTACAGTTATTAGTGGGAGGCTTTCTGATCATGAAGCGGTATATACCAAGTTTAGCAGTTTACAAACACCTCACTCAAAAACCCGACGATTAGGTAGGATTTTTTTCACTCAAAACTTTCGTAAATTCTATAATTCATGCTTGACTTCTGACTGGAGTTTTTCTTCTGGGGACATTGACTGTAATGTTAGTGATTTTCTAAATAGACTTGTATCTATTTTTAATAAAGCATTTCCTCTATTAAACATTAGGCCAAAACATAACAAACCTTGGATTGCCAAAGGCATTCGCATATCTGCGAAAAATATGCGTTCTTTGCTATATATTAAAAAATTTAATGACAGTATCCCCATCTCTGATTATATCAACAAGTACAGAAAATGCTATATAAAAGTACTCAAAGTAGCCAAAAAATCCTACTTTCATAATCGCTTAACAAGCTCCAAAAATATTTCAAAAGAAACTTGGTCAATAATAAACGATTTTCGAAATAAAACCAGTACAGCGGATCAAACCTTTTCTTTTCCTAACCCCGAAAATCTAAATGATTACTTTGTAAATGTGAGTAAAAATATAACCTCAACTATTTCGCCACAACAAGATCCAGTTTCCTATCTCTCTAATTCAAAAAACATTGCTGATACCTTCTTTTCAAGACCAGTTGATAAGACGGAACTCATTTCAACAATTCGTAGTATAAAAAGCACATCGTCCTGTAGTACAGATGGATTATCTATTAAAATTGTCTCAAATCTACCGCATAATGTTTTGGAGGTCATGGTCTCGCTAGTAAATGATTCCCTTGAAAAAGGTACATTCCCTAACTGCCTAAAGACTGCCATCGTCATTCCTCTTCATAAAGGTGGAGAAAAATCTGATGCCTGCAACTATAGACCTATTGCCTTGTTACCAGCACTATCAAAAATTATTTAAAGACTTTTAAAAGTTCGACTTATGCCATTTCTCCTTAAATATAATATTTTATCGCAAAATCAGTTCGGCTTTTTGTCTAATAAATGCACTAGTGATGCCATATTTTCTGTGTTACATGATGTATATCTATCACTAAACAGTAACCTCTCCTCCACCGTTTTCTGCGACTATTCCAAAGCCTTTGACTGCGTAAATCACGACATTCTATTAAAAAAATTAACTTTCTACGGAATTCGGGGTGTGTCTTTGAATTGGTTCAAAACTTACTTGGTAGGTAGGAAACAATTGGTTAGAATAAATGACACCGACTCTAGTTGTAAAGATATTGAGTGTGGAGTACCGCAAGGTTCAGTATTAGGTCCCATTCTTTTTTTACTTTTCATTAATGACATCACTTACTTGAAAATTAAAGGGAAAATTTTTCTATTTGCTGATGATACCAGTATTACTTGGAGCAGCTCTGATATTTCAACGCTTCATTCAATTATAACCGCTGATTTACTTATAATCAAGGCTTGGTCAGACTCCAACTTACTTAGCTTTAACGTGGAGAAGACTGTAGCATTATCTTATAAAGGAGTCATGCAACCCTTGCTTTTGAATGAGAGCCAAATCAATATCGTAAATTCCGTGAAATTTCTAGGTATTCTCATTGACAGTGATCTCAAATGGTCCTTGTATACTGACTTCTTAAGGAAGAAACTAGCTTCAGCTTGCTTTGCAATAAGATCTGTTTCGAAGGAACTAAATTTATCTTCTGCCAAAATGGCATATTTCTCATTGTTCGAGTCCCATCTTCGATATGGGCTTCCATTTTGGGGTTCTAGTACAGCAGCCCAATTTGATACTATTTTTAAGTTGCAAAAAAGAGCAATCCGTTATCTATTTGGTCTCAAACAAACAACTCATTGCAAGACCTACTTCAAAAATCACGGAATTTTGACGCTTCCCTCTTTATTTATTTTGGAAACGGTTTGTTTGATTCGAAAGCATCTAAACATTTTTCCCGATAGACCTGACCATGGCTACTCCATTAGAAATTCGGATTGTAACGTTTATTTGCCGATCCCGTCCACTCAGCTAGTAAAGAATTCTATTCTATATCGTGCAAAGAAACTTTATAATCACCTTCCAAGAGAAATTAAATCCGCAACATCCTTCATTAAGTTTCGTAAGGTGACAAAAATCTATCTCTCAGAAAGTTGACGAGTTTCTTAATGTATAACAAAGAAACAAAATTAGTATTGTTTATAATTACATTTGGGTGTCTCAAGCAGTGGCTACAATTTGTCTCATTTGTTGTTCTGTACAAATTATGTAGGTTATACAATAATTTTACTAATTTAAAATTGTGTTATTCTGTTTTTTACTATATTTGTTTTTGTTTTATACTTTTTGTACTATTTGACTGATTTATTTTTTAGCTTTGTCCATAAAATTGTTCAATAATTTTCAGTGACAATAAAGCATATTTCTATTCTAAAAATTTCTCTATTTTTCAGATTTTTCCGTATGGTGCCCATATTCAAAAATCCGACAAACTGTTGGAGATGGAAAGTGGCGGGCTAAAATTGTCCTGAGACTTATTTTTGAATAACATAAAACGTAAAAAAATTTAAAAAAAATTGAACTACGAGTGAGGGTATTTTGCCTATCTTAACGGGTGGTACTCTTTGAAAAGCAAACTAGATGAGTATTTTCAAATCGGACTTTTCTAATTTCGTTTCTAAATGATTTTGTTCTTTAATGATAATCCAGATGGCCGTTAACCAAGTAAATTAAAAAAATGTAGTTTTCCTACCTGAATTTAAATTATTCTGGCAGTTTTGTTCGGCGATAACAGAAGGTCAGGCAGTACCTCCTACATCCCGAGGCGGTTCTGTCGCTTTCACATCAGAACTATCATCCATTTTATTATTACTATTGATAGGAGTGTTGGCCACTGAGGCAGATTCGTTTAAATGAATAATTGCTTCGTTAACCGACGGACTCTTGGATTTTGGTGTAGGCGTACTTGGTTTTGGGGATACCTGTTGAAGAAATAAATCATTTAATATTAGTTCCAATTAAGCAAAAGTGTCAAATATTAGAATAACGTTTATTTAAAGATAAAAAAGATTGTGAGCCAGTGAAGCAGGGTATTCTGTTTATGTAATTATCAGTAGTAATATCCCTAGGACATTGATAACAGACGAGATAATTTCATGACAATCGAAAGCTCGTTCCTTGGTAACAGCACGAAGCCGAAGGCTGAGTGCTGTTACCAAGCAACGAGATTGAGAAATTTGTCATGAAGTTATGAGGCATTCATCAATGTCCGAGGGATATTCGGCGGATAATTTTTCGAAAAAAAAAAAAATCATAACTCAACATAACGAAACATTTATTTACTAAAAGTACAGTTAGTGAAAGTACAATTATTAAAATTTAAGTTAACATTAGATTCGTTGAAACGTGACATTTTGAAATTTATTTGGATGAAGTTGTCAAACTCGATAGTGTTGTCATAGGGATTGAAAATTGCACTGAATGCAATTATCAGTCTAATGTTGACATGATTGGGTGAAATTGTTCCACATGACACAAAATGACGAAATTTGAATGGTTGTTAGAACAGTCGAAAAATTATCAAAATAATATACAATAAAACACTAAAATAAAATAAATAATAAATCAAAAGAATGCAACAGATATTATATGAATAATCAACCGTACCACGCTAATACGATAATATCTACTAAAATAATAGAATCATTATCATGTAGCCTACAACCATTGGTGGATCTTAAGGTCTTGACTGACAACAACTTTTTTCCAAAAGGCTCGGTCTTCCATCACTGTTGTCCAGTGGAATATTCATTTTTTGAAGATCTGAGTGGATTTATTTATTTATTTAGTCTATGGTTACATGACAGTTGAGTTTTATGTATAAACAAAGAGGACAATACATTGCAAACAATAAATAAGTTGACAAATATATTCAATTGAAATCATGAATGTGTTGCTTGTGTGAGTCCATTTCAAATAGGTAAAGAAATAATAAATAAGACTTACAATCAATTTAATTTAACTATCCAGACGACCGGTTTCGCTTTCTACAATATGCAAAGCATCTTCAGGTCTCGATACAAAGTTAAATAAATGCTTAAATAATAATAAACCCATATGAGGGTGTTGTCTAATAAAGATAAACAAAATAGATGTTGGAAATTACAGTAATTATGCCAATATTACATATCTGTGGTTTTTCAACATGAATAAAAAGGAATAAAAAGGTATAAAAAGTTTTAACAGGCAAGGTAAGACCCACAAATTGTTATAAAATAGTCTATTAGATTTTGATGATTACAAGACTTGATAATTACAAGTTGAAAGAATTGCACACCCACACAATTTGTACATCTAATCTGATTCATTGTCGTAAAACTGTCACCTTCATAAAATAAATACTCAACAAATAACACACATTTCATAAATATATCTCTTAAATAAGTATAAATAACTTTTAAATAATACAATGGTATAGAACATCACTTTCATCTAACAAACAATCACATTACACCTATCTCTACTTCATTGGATCAAATCTATCTCCTCAAGAACTTCCCGTTTATTGTCAAACAACTAGAATAGCAGACTTAAGTTCTCCATTCAACAATACATGATAGTTTCAACCATGTTCTACCATCCATCAATTAATAGAGTACCGGCATGTAAGGTTTTATTTATTTGCTCATTTATTAATTTATTACAATCTAATAGACTATTTTATAACAATTTGTGGTCTTACCTTGTCTGTTATAACTTTTTATTCCTTTTTATTCATTTTGAAAAACCACAGACATGTAATATTGGTATAATTACTGTAATTTATAACATCTACTTTGTTTATCTTTATTAGACAACACCCTAATATGGGTTTATTATTATTTCAGCATTTATTTAACTTTGTATCGAGACCTGAAGATGCTTTGCATATTGTAGAAAGCGAAACCGGTCGTCTGAATAGTTAAATTAAATTGACTCTTTGATTGCATCTAAGAAATCGGACGTTTATAGTATTGGAAAATAGACGTCAATCCGCTGTGTGGGTGTTTCATTATGAGAAAAACCCAACAAAAGTGATCAGCTCTCGAAGTGTCTCAACAATGGGTTTAGAAGATCGAAGAACGATTACTCGTGATTGAACTGTTTGTTTACCAGAAGTTATCGCGAAATTCCGACAAAGCAACACACAACGGCGAATCATCATCAAAAGACAATAGAATTTTTGGAGCTTCAAAACATCGAGTTGTTAAACCATCCACCGTATCGTCCCGACCTAAGTCCCATCGACTTCTTCACGTCAGAAATGATCAAGAATTCAATGCGTGGGCAGATGTTGTTTCTATGACCAGCATCTACGATGATATGATCAGTTTGATTCCCATTGAAGTGACCGTTTGAAACCCAGGTCTGTTAGTAAATTTCTTTATGTGAGAACATGGTTGACTTTATTAGCATATTGTTACTTGCTGATATTTCTATAAGTTTTAATTAGGCATCTATGCACATTGCAGTTTTTAAGCTCGGTTATTTGAATATTTTGGCATTAAATTCACCACACAGTCCACTCATATCATGTTGTAAAACAATAAAATGTTTATGCTTAAATCATAAGTATATAATAATTTGATCTAGTTGTTAAACCTACCTTTGTTGGAGTGTTGCTTCTAGCAACAGGCGCAAGATTCATACTACTGATCATCGGTCCTGAAGGTTGTATCACAGGGCTTTGACGTTGACTAAGGTTAAGCGTATAATTTGAATTCATAGGAGAGTGTCTTTGTAGTGAGGGGCTCGATCGGGGTATTGTATATCCCTGGGTCGGATTCGGAGGGGCCACAAAAGCGGAACCTATAATTCAAACAAATATGTATATTAGTTAAGATGTTACTATATTTGTTAACATGTTTTGTGGGAGAGTTATCAGTCACAAAAGTGAAGAAGAAAATAAGAATCTTGCAACTTCATCCTTTAATGAAAACGTTTCGTGAATGAATCCATACACATCCTCAGTTCAATATAAAAGTGCATCAATAAGTTTACAAATATAAAGAAGATATTAAAGAAAAAACTTACAAGAATATGTAGCTACCAATTGATGGCAGTAATTAATAACAAGCTCAAATTTGGAACCATAGACTTATTAATATAAAAATTTCAATATTATTTTAAAGTAAAAACAGAACTATGTTAGATTTTATAATGTATATAGAGCAGAAATGTGAAAATAAAATACAAGTAAACTTTAATACAAGAAGAACAAACAGAACTTTCATTATTGATATGAGATCGCAAGCCACCATCGTTTGCGGTATTGCTCATTTATAAGTTGATCCGACACACCAGCTAATTCTAGTCTATTTTATAATATATAGTCTAAACTATTTTATAGGTACAAATATGTAAATATGAAAGGTGTTCAATTTTTAATGTTTAAATATCTTGGTTTAGATATTGTCAGAATCTATATATTATATGTACTTGACTTGTCATAAAATATGTCATGATCTGTATGCTTTTATAGTTCATACTTTCAACATCCGAAAGAAGAAAAAAAATACGATCGAGTATTTATTAACTCAAAAATATAAATACTGACCTACTAACGGGGATTGCCTCGTGGATGGGGATAGGCCTAGTTGCGCAGGTGGCAACATCGAACTCGGATGAAGTAGTGGAAGCATCAGTCCTTGCGGCGAGATATGAGGGGCAGAAAGATGGGGAGGTATACGAGATTGTGCTTTCTCTCGTTCTCGTTGAGCCCGCTCTTTTTCTCGTTGTTCCCTTTCTCTTTGCATCTGAAGGTCCCTTTCAATGAGTTCTCGCTCGACGTACTCGTCTTTTCTGGAGGCAGAAAGTCGCCGGTGCTCTTCTTCCATTTTTAACCTTAAACGGAAAGTTACATTTATTAGAAATATTCTGTTAATTATGATGATGCATACAAAAAATGGCTACATGATATCTTGGAATAAAGTCATTTATTCCCATCATACCAAGAATCATTCATTAACAAAATTTGAGAATACACTTGAATTGATCTACTAAGCGTTTTTTGCGATATATCTTAATTCTAAGTGATATATGTATTTTTAAAAAGTTATTATATGTATTTTAATTAAAACTTACAAATAAACGCTTCGATTGGGTAAAAATTGTCAATCTGATATTAACAAGAAACTGAAGTCATTTCTGCTACATAAATATATTTGAATATTAGTATTCGCCTTACCTTTCATGCACATATAATGGCATTCCGGCCCCTGGAATCATATAAGGCATATATGGATGACCTATTGGAGGCCATGGTGATCGTAAAACGCCCAGTCTTTCATAGTACATTTGTTCTTCTATTAATGAGGTCGGTAAGGTTGGAAAGCTATAAGGCGAGTAGCCTTGCATATCTATACCTACTTGTGGATGAGGTATTCTAAAACAAATAAAAACTACGATGAATATTCAACTTGATATATGTAGCGATTCAATTTTACAATATCTTGAAGAAATAGATTTTACACTTTCAGATCAGAAACCATTGACAAAATGAAATAGATATCATTACAATGCTGAGTTGAAAAGGACGAAAAAGCTGGCATATGATCCATTGATATTAACTTGAAAGAGTAGATCCAAAACGTGTTGAAAGGTAATTAACTATGAGCGAAATAAAACAAATGTTTTAGATAATTCAACAACCAACATATCTTGTCACTCTTTCAATAACTTTTTTGTTGAAATTGCTGAAAATATTATAAAATCTCTTCCAAATACACCAGACAACAAAATTTTGAACTATCAAAAATTTCCAGCTCCATCAAATTCATTTTTCTGTCTCCAACCAATGAACAAGAAGTATCCACAGTTATAAACACATTAAAAAATTCAAATTGTTTGGAAACAAATGAGCTAAACGCATCTTTTATCAAAAGCACTAGTGAAATAATTACTAAACCTTAAACACATTCTCATTAATAGTATTTTTTCAATCAGGATATTCCCAACTTCATTTAAATAGTCCAAGATTGTTTCTATTTTTAAAAAGGGCGATCGTGACCTTGTAGACAATTATTATAGACCAATTTCCATCGTTTCGATATTCAGTAAAATAATTGAAAAAATTCTAAAGAAGCGTCTTATATCGTACTTTGAAACAAATAACTTTTTTACTAGTTCACAATATGGGTTTAGAAAGGTTCGTTCCACAACACATGCACTTTTAGACGTGATGAGTGCCATAGTTGATGGCCTTGAGAAGCATAATCATTCTGCCATAACGCTGTGTGATCTTTCAAAGGCCTTCCACTGTGTTTTCCATGATATTTTGCTAAAAACTGCATTTTTACGGTATAAGAGGTACTCCTTTGAAACCAATTTCATCGTATCTAAAGGATAGATACCAAGCAGTCAAGTACGGACATTGTCTCTCTGAATTTAAGCAGATAAAGCATGGAGTTTCACAAGGATCAGTTCTGGGCCCTCTATTATTTATTATATATGTGAATGACTTCCCCAATTTCATGGCTCCATTTAAAACAGTTTTATTTGCAGATGACACTACTTTTGTTTTTTTCTGATAAAAATCGTTCAGATTTAGAAACCACGTCTGAGTATGTAAATTCTAATGCTCAATCATGGTTCTCAGCAAATAACCTTAAACTACATGATAACAAAACTCAAAATTTAATTTTTTCGTCTACCTTCGATGTGAGTGTTGAAAAAAATAATGTCAAATTGTTGGGCATAACAGTTGACAACATTGACTTGGTATAACCATATTGACCATCTCAAAGGTAAACTTTCTAGTACCTTATTTTTACTCAGACAATTAAAACTTGTTACAAGTGTTGATACCTTGAAAATAACGTACCTTTCTCTTTTCCATTTATTTTTAAGCTATGGTGTTATTCTGTGGGGAAACTCTTGCAATGCCCTAACAATATTTAAATTGCAAAAAAAGCAATAAAAATAATTGCAATAATATATAATGCCCTTGCCAACATTATGGATATACAGTGTAAATGTTGAAATACATAAAAACGCTAATACTTTAATTTCGTTTTAGCGTTAGCGTTTTTAATTAGTAGTTTAATTAAACACTCTGACTTACATAATTATAGCACAAGAGGTGCAAATAACATCAGATCAGTTAAGTATCGTTTGAGTAAATCACAAAAAACTCAATTGACTATAATATATACAATGTCCTACCTAAAGATTTAAAACAACTTTCTATAAATAAATTTAAACTTAGTCTAAAAAGATACCTTTTGAGATTTGCTTTTTTACTCTGTTAGTGAATATTTTGATCACTTCAAGGCAGTAACATGAACATGGATGTACTCACTATGTTGGTATATGTCTTATTTTGTATATTTTATGTTTTATTCTATGTTATGTGTATTAATGTATTTTCATCTATTGTATTTTGTGTATGTTATATATTATATTTTTTACTTTACAATGTATATGTCATATACTTGACTTGCTACAAACAAATGTAACATTTGTATGTGTTTGACGTCGTCAAATAAATCTTGAATCTATCAAAGCCTTGCAATGTGTTACCTATTTTCTTTTATTATTAAATATTATATTATATGTTTATATGTATGTATTATATGTATTAAATATTATATTATATATGCTTATTAAACCATAACCGATTGTAATAAAAATTGCATTTTTTAATTATTATTTGACGTTTCGACTTTCACTCCGGAAATCGTTTCCAAAAACGATTATATTACAATAGTGAGCTCTTATAACCAATAGTTGTTTCGCGGTTACTGTTTGCCAAATTGACGGGTTAGTTACTTGGTCTCGATCTTGTGGGCAAATAGCAATGCTTTTTGTTGAAAATTCTGAGGGCGGTGTTTATACCCTCAAAATGATTTCAAATTCTGAATGTTTTGTGTGATTATGTATTATGCTGCTGCTTTGATTTTTCTCTTTTTCATGTCCGTTTCTTTCATGAATATTGCTGCATCTCTTCATTGTACTCTGTGCTTATTGTCCCAGGCTTAATTGCATATTTGTGATTTGTGGAAGTATGTGGTTTTGATGTATGGTTCATGTTCATTTATCCTGAACTTAGTGATCTTGTAGTTTATCCCCACATAAAAATTGTTGAACTCGCATGGTATTTTATAGATGCAGTTCTTTGATATCTCTTGTGTGTTGTTAGGTTTGGTTTTGGACAGAATAGATCTCAGTGTATTCGTAGTTTTGAATGCTGTTGTGATGTACTATTTCCTCTTCTTGTTAATTTTTTTGATAAGCCCTTTACAAATAGAATTGTAACAATCTTTAAATCATCAAATGCATTTTCATTAGAGCAGGTGTAAATTTTATAGGAAGATAATTTAAAATTGGAAAAGGCAATTCAAATCGCTAAAAGTATGGAATTGACACAAATCAAAGCCGCACAATTCTAAAGTTGTTGTTTATAAAGTCAAACAAAACATGAATAACTCAGATGTAGGCAATCCAAGCAGCAGACAAAGTAGTTCATTGTTTAATAGTTAAGATAGTCAAAGAAACATTCAAGGTAACAACAAATTATACAAAGGTTAATTTCTAAAACTTGTAATAGTTGTGTCACAGAATAAATAACAATTAGAATGCCCACTCTCAGATGCCGCCTTTGAAGTTTGTCAGCACGTGAACGCCATGTTTTAGACGGAAATATAGACTCGAATTGAGAAATTTGTGACAAGCTACGACAGAACTGTAATTTAAATTTTTAGAGATTAATAATTTAGTACATTTGAAATAATTTAATCTATTCTTCAACTAAAAGTACTAATAAAATAGTGCATATTATGGCTGTAGTTGCCGTAAATAAATTAAACCGGGTTAATTTGTCTATGCACATCAGATAAAATGTCACTGAACAGCACTAGTTCCGACTAAAACATGACTGATTCCGTCTGCGCGAACGAGATGCGCGTACTTATTTTTCAAGCAGAGTGGGCATTTTAATTATTTATTATTGTGTGGTTATGGTCAGTTTCATCGCTAAAAATATTCTGCAGAGAGTGTTAAATATAATAATTGTCACCGAAAAGGACATTATGTCAGGTTTTGTCAAAAGAAAGATGTTCTGTCAATGTGACTGAGTATGAACAATACGAATGAGAATATATTGACAATGATTTATTTGTAATTAGGTCAATTTATTATAATAATAAACCCAATGACTCTACGGACAAAGAATACTATAAAAACAATGTTATTTTTAACCGAAATTCTTGTTATTCGAAACGGCCTCCCTCCAATTACTTCGGTTAACGGAGGTTTTACTGTAATTAAAACATGAATGCTTTTTTTGGTGAAAATAATAACAAAATTGTACATACAATTTTTGCTAAGAAAGGAACTGCTAATGTTATGATATGATATTGTTAGGCAACCTGAACTATCAATGTGAGCATCGTTGTATTATCATTAAAATGTGTATTGAATGTATCTTAATAAGAAGCCTGTTGTATAGGTTTAATATTGTATAATATTCAAAATATTAAGAAACTTATAATACCTAAAAGTTACTCTGTATATATAGGCTTTGATAAAATATTGTTTATTCCTCACGTTTTGTCAGCAACTATGGCTATGCTGAGCGCATAAGCGTGACCTCCTCATCATGGTTAAGTGGAACGATGCGAAGTCTACCGCAGTTGTAACGTTAGGAACAAATAATTTTAGTACACGACGTATAAACCTCAATAATAATCTACCTCATAAAAACTGGCAGCAGAAGCCTTATTCCTTAAATTATATTACCTTTCTTCTGGTCGATAAGGTTGAAAACCACTTCTGTTAAGGTCCGGTAACGAACTTGCAGGATAACGGTCAACGTGGTTAGTGGGTAAACGAGGTTCAAAAGACCGCAAGTTTGAGCTACTGGGAGAGGCAAAAGGGGGCACTTCTACTAATCCTTTTGTTTTGTCCGGTAATTGAACACCTCCTGCAAAAGAATAAAGTAAATAAGATGAAAAGTTGACATAGGATATTTTATATAACGTGCATTTTTTTAAACATAATACTCGTACTGTGAAACGATCTTATTATTATTTTTTACGTATTTCTTACACCCTTCGTTACTTCATACAAGATTTATGCAGATTTATTTATAGAAAATAATTACAGCAATATATGATTTGTCGTACTATTATTTTATCGGCGATCTTTCCTGTTTTTCTCAACTATAGCCTTCTTAGTTTATTCTGTTCAAATTATAATATTTCACTTACTCTTTTAAGAAATTCCATGTGAACTGTTTCAATTTAGGTTTACTTTTCATGTTAACTTGGGCCATATGTTTTTATAGGCTCTTACTATAATGGACCTGCAATCTGCTTATTTTTCTTCCCATCTAATATTTGTTGATCAAAATATTGAATTTAGTTCTTTGAATGCGACATTCTCTTTCGATGTTCGACTGTGTATATCTTTGATGTTTCTTTATTACCCAAGCTGTAGAGAAATGAAGTGCATTAATTAGTAAATTTTTGAAACCAGCACATCGTTGTACTGTTTACAAAAATTCACTACTTTACTAATCAAGATGCGCGTAAATATGTAGTTTAGGTATGCTCGAGAAACTCACATATTATGTGGTAAGTTGATCACCCTTTGCTTTGTTAATTAATTTCAGTATTGAGATCTTTTTTTTCGTATATTTATAGCAGAGTCTCACTAGCAATTGATTTTTCCTCGAGGCCTCATTTATTAGTGACGATTAGATGTCACGTTCCGCCTTTTAATGTCACCATCTGGATATTTGCCGACGTGGTATAACATTTTTGACAGCATCAGCCCTCAGCCCTTTTAAGAACTAAGGTAGTAATAGTAGTGCCAGAAGCATATATGTATAAGAGTAAAGTTTTATTATTTACGAATGTTATTCGTCATTCTTTTATGTATCATATTTTTGGGCAGAAACGAAAAGCTTTTATGTTTCTACGAGATTCTAGCTCATATTTATTTTCTTTTATTTTTTTGAGACATTTTAAGAGATTATTACCTTAATTTATGTAAATAATTTTTCGCATATTTCAAGAGCTGTAATCTGTTTAGTTATAAGATTATTGATGACCATATGGTCACATAAAAATTGCTTATTTTAAGTATTTAATAAATGCATGTTTGTTTAAAATTGAAAGTTTTAAAAAACATCATTTTTTATTGTGGCGTATTATTTTATTTAAATAATAATACATATTTTAGAGACGATATAACCTTGTTTTAAGTATTTTATTGAAAACGTAAAATTTTTACAGCTTATGAGTAAATATGTCAATGTTTATGATTTTTGCTCTTTGATATATTTTCTGATGTATTTTTTTATGTCTTTGAGAGAAATTATAATCTAAAGTTTAATTTATTTAATCTTGAGTTCCTTCATGAGTTTCAGGTTAAAACTTATTGGCGGCCATTTTATTTTGCTGTTTGACTGTATTCAGTGTGTCTTGTTTTTCTTTTGTCAAACTGTTATCTAATCATTATCTATCGTTTATCTATATGTCTTTAATCTGTACTTTTCTATTAAGTATATCCTCACCCACCCCCAATGAAGCTCCTGACTTGAGCAACGTCGTCTTCGTAGGTCTTGGTGAAAGATGAGCTTGTTACCATCTACTTTTGTTAGCTTTTTCGTTACAATGTGTATACGATAATATTAGTTTATGTTCGTACTTTCCATATAGGTAGCATAAAAAATTTACATTTATTATTTATAATTAAAAATAAAATTTACAATTTTAACAGGCAGCCCAAATCCAATGTCTCTGAAGACTTAAGATGCGTAGTTTCTTGATGGGCCAGGGTAGGGAGACGCTCCTTAGCGGCAAGACAATCTGTTCTATGATTTTTGCCGTGCTCTCTCTTTTTAATTTGAGCATACTACAGCTAAAGTGAAATTGAGCTATCTGTACTTAAGACCCTAAGTCGTAATCTTGTTATACTACCCGATGAGAAAGTCTCAGTCACCATTTCATTAGACCCTCTGCTGTTTTACGGTCCAAATTTAACTGATCTTTTATATTGAACAAACTATTTTCAATTATAAATCAGAAATGAAATACATAAAACACCGAACTACATCTACAATAATAGCTCTACTTGACAACCGCAAGATCAGGTAAACCAATAATTATTAACGTGTAAAAAATAAAAGCTAGTAGGTACTACTCCTCTACATTCAACCAAGTAAAGTTCTGAAAAAATATGTATAATATAGAGAACGAGAAAGCGAGTAGTGTGTCGTAAGACTAATTTTCTAAAGCTGCAATAAGATCCCCATATAAGGCAGTGAATGTATATATAACATGCATTTATCTTCTTCTAAATCTCAAGAAGTCGTTGTTTTTTCATGTCGTCGTTGGTCTTCGTTTTTTCGTTTTATTTATCGGCAGATATTCTACGGCTGTAGAACATCGTTTTCCCCCATCCTGATAACATGTACATATACCAAATTAACTGGTTCGTTTCAATTCGTTCTATAACTGTGTGTTCTATCTTTATTCTTTGCTTATTGCGTCGTTTTGCACATGTAGTCTTGATATTTTACATGGACGCCTTAGGTAATCCATTCAACTGCTTGCACTTTTCATTTATTATTCAGTTGCCAGCACTCTGCTCCGTATGCTAATAATTCAATGACTGTTGGGCAGATAAAGGAAAGAATAACGAATGCATGTGGCAACGAGATAAGTTAAAATGGTTGAGGTACGTTTAATTTCGCGGAGAAATAATAATCATTTTGTTAAAAGTTCCTGGAAGAAGTAGAAAAAAGACCAAAGAAGACCTGGAGGGAAATAGTTGGACAAGGCATATATGTGAAAGGGATTAATATTGGTATGACCCAAGATAGAGAATTATGGAGAACTTTAATTAGGCAAGCCATATCCACATAATGGTAAAGGTAAAGATCATGATATTGAAACTGTGAGAGTAACTCTCTTATTGTTTTAAACTGAGTTGGATAAAGTCTGAAACCAAGTGAATATCTTTGAAACGAATAAGACGATATTCATGAAACTTTGGATGCAAGTACAATGACACATAAAGCATCTGATGCTATCAAAACAATAATTTTTTTCCAACTTGGTATGCATGTATTAATAATAACAAGTTCTTTTAAAATCTTCAAAAATATAAGGGGTGTTCCATTTAACTTAAATCCGATGAAATTAAAAGTAGAGCAGTAACAAAAAATACGATATCACATGCATTATACATCATTTGACTTGCATGCCAAGTCTTTTTCCTTTCAAAGATATTTTCTTGATTCCACTAAAACTCTGGTAAATGTATATAATCTGATGTATCGAATGTAAAAAAGTTTAGTTTAATAAAAAGCCTTTTATTTACTGTCTTTTATCCAGGTTGTTGGGTCTACGATGGATTTCGTTAAATGCATTACATGGACGCAAACTACACAAACAATACAAAAACAAAACAAGAAAACTAGGAAATAATAACGTACATGCACAAAATACCAAGAAGAAAAACCGATTTACCTGGATTTCTCCTTAGCGTTTCGGAGGAATTGGTCTGATTTATGGACGAGACGGACTGCTCAACGGAAGAGGCGGTACTAGTGTTCGGAACAGTCTGTTGAGCTAAATTACGTAATGCCGCGGCGAACGAATGTGAATACTGATTTGGGTTAGTACCCGGTCCGGGACCGGAGACCGCGTGTCCGCTAGTCGTTCGAGGTTTCGTAGTACTATTCGTAGATGAAAGTTTTGGACTGCTCGCTACCCCTGAAAATGCAACTAGTTGTAACGAACAATCACTTTACACATACACATTTTTGTATACAGCCATCGAAAACAAATCGTAATTAAATAGACCATGGAATCACATATTTATACGGTTTGTTAGTAGTATAGTCACCGCTCTCTGATTGACGTGACATATGGATTATTAACATCAATACAGTTTGTTTATATCATCCTAGATCTTTATACCCTTTTTGATTATAAACGTAATGTCTTTCAAGGTTTAACAATTATGTTCACCATAGAGCAAAAAAACGAAAAATTATCGAATGTTACTTCTATACACGCGTGCGAGTGAATGGTTACTAGTAGTATTCGATTCCGGAATACATGCCTGATTTTCATGAGGAATATATTGAATTAGTCTGCAGTTACAATATTTTGATAAATTGTGTGCCATTATTTAGAAAGACAGGCAACAAGGACGAAAACATTTAACATGGCATAGGACCAGAACTCAAAAACATATATTTCAGTGTTGACTCAATAAATAGATTTATCAGATGGCATATGCCAATTTATTTAAAAAAAAATATATAAGATTTAAGAAAAAAGAAGAATTTAAAAATTGCAAGGTTTCAAGAGATGCTTCCAGCAGATCTGCAAAATAACTAGAAAAAACAGAATTCGTAAAAAACGGCGAGCCAAAAAATAGACGAACCGCCCGACAAAAATTAGGCAATGATTGAAAACAAGTGAAAACAATTTGGGGCTAAAATAACGTGAAAGAGTGGATCACCAGAGAAACATGGAGCAAAATAGAAAGCCGCAAAGGCACTAATTTAGAACTACTAAATTCCAGAACTGAAACAAAGAAAGAACGACTTAGAGAAAGTTATAGAGAATCGAATAAAGTTGAACGTTGAAAGTGTCGCCGGTGAACATCAAAACACAAGAGAATTATATAATCTCACTAAACGACAGATATGCCACCCACCAAACACTTCTGAATATCAAAAATAAAATAACAGCAATAATTATAAACAATCGATTGACAAACAGTGTGAAACCAATGTTACGGAAATAACAAGCAGACCAGACCAAACCGATCATGCATAGATCAAATTAAGACAGATTAATTAAAGAACAGTTGCAGAAATTGAGCTCTCCACTATTTATACGCTTTGTGGACTTCAAAAGAGCCTTGGATACGCTCACACATATGGCCACGTGGAAAGCACTAAAGCTCTAATCGCTGTAATAAAAGGTGTAAAACAGGGCTGTGTTTTATCCCCTTACTATTTAACATTGTACTGAACTCTCTACTAAGTTAAACTCTAATAGAGGATCATGAATGTGTTGCTTGTGTGAGTCCATTTCAAATAGGTAAAGAAATAATAAATAAGACTTACTCACAATCAATTTAATTTAACTATCTGACGACCGGTTTCGCTTTCTACAATATGCAAAGCATCCTCAGGTCTCGATACAAAGTTAAACAAATGCTGAAATAATAAAAACCCATATTAGGGTGTTGTCTAATAACGATAAACAAAGTAGATGTTGTAAATTACAATAATTATGCCAATATTACATGTCTGTGGTTTTATTTAAATGAGTAAGTTGAATAAAAGGTATAAAATTTTTTTAAAAAGTTTAAACAGACAATGTAAGGCCCACAAATTGTTATAAAATAGTCTATTCGATTGTAATAAATTAACAAATGAGCAAATAAATAAATAAAATAAACATTACTTACATGCCGGTACTCTATTAATTGAGGATGGTAGAACATGGTTGAAACTACTATATATTGTTGAATGGAGAACTCAATTCTATTATTGCAGTTGTTTGACAGTAAACGGGAAGTTCTTGAGGAGATAGATTTAATCCAATGAAGAAAAGATATGTGTGTGATTGTTTGTTAAATGAAAGTAATGTAATATATCATTGTGTTATTAAAAGCTATTTATACTTATTCGAGAGATATATTTTTGAAATGTGTGTTATTTATTGAGTAATTGTTTTAAGAAGGTGGTTTTAAGAAGGTGACAGTTTTATAACAATGAATAAGTTTAGATGTAAAAATTGTGTGGGTGTGCAATTATTTTCCAATCTGTAGTTATCAAATTACTTTGATAAAGTTCTATTGGCAATTAGTAAATTATTGGAAAGTCAAGTGAATAAAATATTAAAATACAAACAATTAAGGACAATTTAAACACACTAAAACAGAAAACACTTAGAAGGGACGAAATAAACATTGAATTTAAAAAGGGGGAAGGGCTTTAATGCACTACATCGTAGTCTTGGGCACAATGAGTTTTTTATGTTTTATCTATTAGATTTTAGTGGTAAATTTGACAGATGTAGGTTAGCATGTGACAGTTCTTCTTCTGTTTCTCAATACTGTAAGTTAAGTTATCTAGTTTTATGAAATATGTTGTTATTAATGAATGTCTATAAATTGTTTCAATTTAGATATCAAAAGTAAATTGATGTGTTTAATATTGGCATACTTTAACAATCTATAATTAATCAAATTTAATGTAACAATATGGATAATTGAAATACATCCTACAATATAACTAACTCAGTCTAATGTCCAAATTACTGAACAAATTAAAGTAATTCTTTGGCAACTGAACATGTACATTTTATAATCAAATGTATAATAAGTTTACAAAGTTTTTTGTTTTTATTTGAAATTGTTGTATGTGTGAGTTATCTGTCAGGATATTTTTTAATTATTTGAGATATTTATTTCAAATTCTGATATATTAATATCTAATATACCAATATGTAACCAAAGTAACAAATGGATAATTATTGATGGTAATTAATTTATGGGCTCAAGAAATTGACTGAATTATAAAGCCTTCAATAATTAGTTGGTAGTTCTAATATCTGACAGTTGGAACCGGAAATTGTTATACGAACAGGTAGAATGATCATCTATTTAAACCGGTATAAGGTAAATTTATTCTTATTTCAATTTTCGGTGTCATACGAACAGATATTCCTCACACCTACATGGACAATGGTGAGTTTGTACAATTGTTTTAAGTAACACTTTAAAATTTTTTCAAATTAATAGCTGTTTGTGAAAATTAATATTTCTATTTGAAATGTAAATTTGTGTTTAATTGTAATTAATAAAGATGTATTCAATTAATACAGCTAGTCTGAACGATTAACGTGTTATTTTTGATGATACTCAAAACACGTGTTGAGTTTGAAATCAAATTTTTTTATAAGATGAGTATATTTCGGAACCAGATGGAATGTAATAATAATTGTGAGTTACTATTTTACAACAATTTGTGGTCCTTACCTTGTCTGTTTAAACTTTTAAAAATTTTTATACCTTTTATTCAACTTACTCATTTAAATAAAACCAGACATGTAATATTGGCATAATTATTGTAATTTACAACATCTACTTTGTTAATCGTTATTGGACAACACCCTAATATGGGTTTTTATTATTTCAGCATTTGTTTAACTTTGTATCGAGACCTGAGGATGCTTTGCATATTGTAGAAAGCGAAACCGGTCGTCAGATAGTTAAATTAAATTGATTGTGAGTAAGTCTTATTTATTATTTCTTTACCTATTTCTAATAGAGGAATTTACTGGGGATTACCAGACAAAAATGTCTAGATTTCGAGGATGACATAATATGCCTCTTAGCACATACAAAAAAGGAAAGGCAACTAGACATATTACAAAAAAAAAGAGGTAAAATCTTTGTAAGTGGGTAATACTTCAGCTGGTAAGTCTGTTTGAAGAGGTTTACTCTCCGGAGGCTGTTACTCACGTAAGGCATGGGTGTATGTTACCTGAAGTAAAATATAATTAAATATTAAACATCAATTATTATTAACAACAATATGTACAATCTTTGGTAACCTTATTTATTTTAAAGGGTTTTTACCCTAATATTTTGGTGGCTCAGACATGTTAACCTGCATTTTTAACCTGATGATGGAATTATTACTCCGAAAACGTTCGTGTTAATTTGATGTAGCACTTTTAAGGGTTTTTTAAATATATCCACTTACAAAGATTTAACCTCGTTTTTGTGATACGTGGTATACAGTCAGCTGCAGGAATTATTTTCCTTGTGGATATTACAAAAAGGATCAAAGCAGGTTGGTCTAGAAATAAACTCCACCAAATCCAAAGAAATGCGATATGGGTCCAGAAACAACCAGTTTGTCGTGATCAACAACGAGGAAATTGAGAGGGAGGTGGAATTTGTATCTCTGGGCGGCTAATTAACTTTAACGGTGGTTAAAGCAGGTGCAGAAAAGAGTTAATAAGCCTCATAATGCGTACAGAAATCCAGGATTTCCCAACCAATAGGAAATTAAAAATCTTTAACGTAAAAGCTGTATTACTATATAGCTGTGAAACGTGGAAAATATCAGCACCCATAGTAGACCAATTACAAGGTTTTATTAATAGAGCGCTATTTCTGGGAGGACGTGGACTATAATTTCAGTGATTTTTAAATTCTTTATTTTCTTTCTGACAAACATAGTTTGTATAGAATTCGTCATAAATATACATTGCTACAAACTAAACACTAAACTTAAGAAACTAAAGATTTGAGATAGGCTTGTCCTTATTTTCAATAAGGCTTTTCCTTTAATATAATTAAGTCAAAACATCACAAACTCTGGACCACCAAAGGTATCCGCATATCATCCAACAATATGCGTTCACTACTGTACATCAAGAAATTTACTACCAACATCTTTGTCACTGAATATATCCCTAAGCACAGAGGAACCTATCTAAAATTTATCAAAACAGCTAAAAAAAATGTAATCAGAATCGTCTGGGATGCTCTAAAAATGTTGCAAGAGAAACTTGTTCCATAATAAATGATCTTGGAAATAAAACTAACACAGCTCAAACATTTTCTGTTCATTTCCAGAGTGCCTTAAGACAGCCATTATTATTCCTCTTTATAACGGTGGTGAAAAATCGAATGGCTCCAACATAGACCTATTGCGTTATTACCAGTCTTAACC